AGAGCACTTCCTGCCGCCTCTGGAACTGTCCAGTGGTGCCCTACCAATACCACATATTTGACCCTAGGCAGGCCCAGCACATTCCTTCCTACAAAACCCACCCCCAACCTCCTTCTGACTCTCAGTCCTCTTCCCCTACCTCTCCAGTGTCTGTCTGTCACCCCTCATTTCACCAAAGCGTCCTTGGGGGTTGGAGCATTGGGGATGGTATCTGCTAAAGAGGTGGTGGGGTGATGGGTTGGGGGTCCCTGGCTAGAGGGGCTGTGTGGACTGCGGCAGGTAGGTTGGGGTTTCCTCTTCCTTTCCTAACTTGATTCTCTACCCCTCCTTCCTTCTACCTCTCACCTGTTTCTCTCTCTTCCTCCTTTCTTACACCTGTGAGATAGAAGGCATCTGGGACTCCTGTTTGGCACAACTGGGTAGGAATTAGGAGTTAGTAGTTAATTCAGGGAGACTTTGGGAGACCCTGAAAAGTTTGCTGTTTAGATGTCAGGCAGTAGGCAGGGTGAGTGGAGCAAGGAGAAGGAACAAGAAAGGAGCCGTGACAGGTGTTAGGACATGGACTGGCCCATGTGGCCTGGGAGTTGGAAGTGGGGTGAGACGTCTTCCTAGATATGAGATCATGGACTCAGTAGCCATGTTGATTCCCGGGCAGAGATGCCAGGAACAGCATGCTAAATAGGCTCTATTCTTGTCAGAGTTCACATCCTGGGGTTGCTAATGCCACTCACTCCCTTTCTCCCACTGCCACTGGGTGGCCTTCCCAGACACATAATCCTACCTAAAAAGCCAGTAAATGGAAACCTGTCACCACTGACATTATTTCTGAGATGCTTTCTTTTCTGCAGGGCTTGATCTGCAGTGGCCAGTGGCTCCTCACACTGTAATTTTAACTCTCTGCCTGCCCAGCCTCTCTGTCAAAGTGGTTAGTGATCTGTAAACAGATGTTAAAAGGCACCAGGGGACCTCACCATTTAAAGGACTCCTGCAGTGATTTCTTTTGTAAAATGAATAATGGCACCCTAATTTATCTACTTTCTAAATTTGGGCCCATGGGGGTGTAGGGGGCATGCCTATGTGCTATTGCCAGCAGACAAGCAGAGGGAAGCGAATCTGAGGCTCCCTTCCCCTGCTCTCCTACCATACTCAGGATCCCCTACCATACGTAATTTCCTTTCTTGCCGACTTGTGTAAAGTGTGAGAAGCTCAGAAAGCTAAGAGAACAGCTTTTGCTTAAGGCTGGGGTTTTTGTGACCTTCTAAGAGGTGAGCTATTTGATTTGGAAGGGAGAGGTGATCTGGGAGCCTCTACTAGGGATGTTTTTGTATCCTTCAGAGATATGGTCAGACATAATTAGGTTGCCAGGCCTAAATGCCCTGTGCCCTGGGGAATACTTGGGATACTTTTTCTAAACCAGTTGGGGGTATTAGTCCCTCTGCAAGTCAGCCATTAATTTAAACACTAATTTTGTGCCTCTGTTTTAAAAAGCCAAGTGAACGACCAGAAGTGTAGCACAGATGCCTTTCTTTTTCTGTCCCAGCAGAGGAACAGAAGCCAGAGCTGAGGGCAGGAGCCAGGAGTTGGTCCAGGAGTGGGAGGAGGTGATAGAATAGGACTGGGGGTGGGAGTAGGATCTGGTACCCCCTATCCTCTAACTGGGAGCCCACGGAGAGAGATTGAAAGGAACGTGGGGGTGGAAAGGAATGAAGTGTTTCTGCTTCCCTGCTTCCTGGGGAGGCAGAGATTGGGCATGCTGTGTCTCTGCAGAAGCTCCTAGTTGGGTCTGCTTCTTAGCATGAGAGAGAGGCAGCCCGCCCTCATTCTCTGACCTTCCCACATCACTTCCCTGAATCCCCTTCCTTTCCCCCCAGTACAGTTAAACCTCTCTAATTTGGAATGTTATCTTTGAGAAGATGGCCACTCTGAATAAGTGACAAAACTGAATGACAGTGTCTATTTAATGAAATGTATGTCTTCAAAATATATACAGTAAGTAGAACTTGATAAACAAGGCTTTTCCTCTCAAGGCCCTCAGGGAGCATGCGTAATGAATAGATAGGATCGAAAGTCTGTTTCCTGGTACCCTCCTACGGACGCATTCCACTATTAATGTGCTTAGCACACCCTTTCTTCATAGATAAAGGAAAACTCAAGCCCAGTTCTTGTGCAAATTATGAAAAAAGTCCAAATCGTGGGGGTTTGGATTAATGAGGTTTTGCTGTACTGCCTCCCCTTTTTCCCTCCACACAAAGTTCCTGCCTTGGATTAGGGGTGGGCTGGGAGGGTGTTCTAAAAGGAGGGTGGTGGGCTGGGCAGAGGAAGATACAAGGGTTAGGTTGGGGGTGAGGTAGGAACTTATTTCTTTTGAGCTGGTTTCCTGGTGTGACTCCCTGGGTTGAAGGCCCCTGTTAGGAGTCTGGGGAGATTCTGTCCTCCCTGATCCCAGAAGAGGTAACTTCTACTGCAGGTGAGAAACTGAATAGGAGGATGGTGGGGTGGGGTGTTGTCCTGGGGGGAGGGGGAGGACATGGTTTACTGAGTGGGTTGGCTGTGGGGGTGGCCACCGCTAGGGGTCTGGCACCCAGGCCCCGCGAAGCGTCTCAATAAGTCCGCGCTCTCCTTTTCGGTGTCTTGCAGGAGAGGCAGCTTCCCGCCTTGGGTCCAACAAACCCGCGTGTGACGCTGGCCCCGCCTTGGAACGGCCTGGCCCCCCCAGCCCCGCCCCCCCCACCCCGGCTGCAGATCACCGAGAACGGCGAGTTCCGAAACACCGCAGACCACTAGCCCACCCAGCATCACAGACTTTCTTCTCCCTCCCCGTGCACCCCACATTGGAACAGCACCAGCCACCAGGACTGGACATCGCTGAGGGACAGCGGGATTACCTCCCTGAATGCCTCCTTGGGGGACACCAATCCCCCCTCCCTTAGCTTAGGGAGAGCAATGACCCTTAGCTGCCCCCTTCCCCTTGCTGTTGGGGTGCTGCCAACTGTGACCCCCAGGGACCCTTCCCCCAGGACACCACCTACCCCATACAGACCCCTTCACTCCGGGGTGCTATCCCCATCCTCTGCCTCATTGTTCCCCTGAGCACTGGGGGACAGACCCTTGCCCCCACCCTGGGGGTGTGGTACCTCCAAACTTTCAACTTCAGGGTGATTTTTTAGCAGTAACCAGAGCTGACAATCTAACTCCCCTCCACCGCCCCATTTTGGCCTCCCCTGTCCCCCTTGTTATGGGGAGGGGACCCCAGGTGAGGGGGCCCTATTACCCCTTGATTTCTCAGGAGCGTCTGGGGGGGCTCAGCACGCACAAACCCCTTCTCCTTCTATCACTCTTAAATTTACTCCCTCCCCACCTAGAACCCAGATGGGGTGGAGGGGCCACCGGGGCAGGGAGGGGGCGGCAAAGGGGGAATGGGAGTTGTCTCCCCTTCCCCCTACACCTGATCTGCTCTTGGCTGGTCCCAGAGCGGGGTGAGGGGGCTCATGCCCCCCCCTCCCCCAGTGTGTTGGGTGGGGTGGAATTGAGGTTAGGGTGAGGGGTTAGGGTTTAGGAGGGTGTGTATGTTGGGGAGGACAGACTAGTTGATCTGTCCTACCCTGACACACACAGTCCCCTCTGACCCTTCCCTCTCTCTTCTTGTCTCTTCTTGGTCTCTGCTCCCAGGGGGAGGAGGGAACTTACTCTAGGAAAAGCCATGTCTCTCTCCCCCAGGGTGGGGGGACCTGTGTTGGAGGAGGGGTATTGGAGGCCCCCTTCCACGACTCTGTCCCCCAGGGGAGGTAGAACAGGGCTGGGCTTCCCTCATCCTCCCCCCTACCCAATCTCCCTCTACCTCCCTCCCTCCCGCCAGCTCCACAATTTTTCTGTGTTTCTCTGTACATAGCTCTCTGGCGGGATAGGGGAGGTAGGAATGGATGGGGTTTGGGGTGGGTAGGTCATGGGAGGGGAGAAGCCCCTCCTTGGCACCCCCTCTTCCCTGACTGCTGTCCCCTACCCAGCCTTGCCCCTCATTCCTTCTTGCGTTTGGTATTGAGACTCTTCCCAGACTCCGCCCTTCTTTCTTTTGTATGGACAGTTCCCCTTCATTTCCACCCCCCTACACACATTCACCCAGCCGGGGCCAAATTTATACTTATATAAAAGTTGTAAATATGTGAAATTTTATCCCTGTGCCCTTTCCTTGCTTTCCTGACCTCACCCCGGGACCCCCTTTCCTCCTCTCTTCTTCGGCTGTTGTAATTATCTGGGGTTTGTACTGTACATATCTGGGATGTGTGTGTGGGGGCTGGGGGCAAACCCTCTGTACAGAGCTTCCTGGCCCCCTACCCCCCACGCTTCCCTCCACCTGCCACCCTAAGGGTAGAGAGATGCTCTTTCTACCTATTTTATTTTGTTTTCTCATTCTCCCTCCCCTCCCTAACCCACATTCAGCCTTCTCTATTCCCCACCACTGTACCTTTTCTCCACTCCCAGCCCCATTTCCTTTTTTTCTGGAGTGTGTGGTGAAACAGAAAAATCATGTTTAATAAACGGAGATGGTTCTTTTATTGCTGTGCTGACTTTCCTAAGCTGGGACGCCCATTCTGACCAGGAGGGTGATAGGATCTGCTAGAAGCTGACAGCTTGGGAGAGACTATATCCATCCCTGTGCAATACCGTACTTTGCCCTAGAATATCACTCTCCCACCCAGCCAGGAGATTTATTGTTTTGTTGCAGGGAGTTTGCACTTGACACAATTACCTAGTCTAGCTCTCCCTCGCCACTGCTCCACTTAGCCAGGAGTGAAGCCAAGGAACAGCAGCATTATCTGATAAAATATTCCAAGTTTATTTCTACATACCTTTGTTTTAAAAAATTACCTCGAAAATAAGGCTTGTTTAGTCGCTGGTTAAAATGATCCCGTTTGGAATCAAATCCCAGGTTCCACCTACCAGCTTCGGTTCCCCCCGAGGAAACCGATGATAGTGACACCTACCTAGCAGGCAGGGCACGAGGTGCCGTGGACCGTGCCTAGCTCACACAGTCGGTCCCCACTTAATCTCACCACCCACCGAGGGGGTGGGGAGGGCGCTACATTTAATCACCGGTCACCCCTCTGTCCCAGCTATGCACTCGGGAGGTCCAGCTCCATTCTTCCCGCACAGGTGCCGGCCCAACCCACCCTACTCTGAGCTGGGGACCAGTAGCTGGTCCGCAGGCACGGCCTTTTCTCCGACGCAACAAATCAACACGAGGCTTGTAGGCTGCTGCCCTCCGATTGGCTGCAGCCCTGGCTCAGCCCACCGCTCCCAGCGCCCGCGTCCGGCGGGCTGGAGGCGGCTTCCGGTCCAGGAAGGTTGGGTGGCTGCGGAGGCGCTCCGAGGGCGGTGCAGCTGGAGTGCCGGCGGGGGCGTGGCGGCACGAAGGGCCGCCCGGCTGGTACACGAGGCCTCCCAGTGGCCGCGGCTTCCTGGGAGCTGGGCTCGGTGGACATCGTGAGGAGGAGCCGAGCGGCAGGCAGGAGCCACCCTGGGCCGACGAGGTCAGGCTCGTGGCTGAAGGATCTCCTCATCTTCCACAGGCCCTGGAAGTTCAAACCCCGGTTGGTGTTTTGTTGTGGTAGTGTTTTGTTTTCTTGGTGGGGGAGTGCGCGGGACGGATCTGCAGAAGCCAACACTAATGGAAGTTTTCCACATGTTGGGGGATAGGGGAGGCGGGTGATGTTCGAAGAGACATGGTTCCTTTACCCAGCACTTCTGTGACCGCCGTCTCTCACTTCCACAGCCTTCATCCCGCGTGGGGTCTACTCCCAGCCTCTAATCTCCTGGAAGCCATGGAAACCTCCATGCCTTTGCCTCCAGTACCTCCCTCCCCAATCTGCAACCCAGCCCCACGGACAATCCAGATTGAGTTCCCTCAACATAGCTCATTGCTGCTTGAAGCTCTGAACCGCCACAGGCTAGAGGGAAAGTTCTGTGATGTATCCCTCCTAGTGCAAGGCCGGGAGCTCAGGGCTCACAAAGCAGTGTTGGCTGCTGCCTCTCCTTACTTCCATGACAAACTTCTTCTGGGGGATGCGCCTCGTCTCACTCTGCCCAGTGTCATTGAAGCCGATGCCTTCGAGGGGCTGCTCCAGCTCATTTATTCAGGGCGCCTCCGCCTTCCTCTGGATGCTCTCCCTGCCCACCTCCTTGTAGCCAGTGGCCTCCAAATGTGGCAAGTGGTAGATCAGTGCTCAGAGATTCTTAGGGAACTGGAAACCTCAGGTGGTGGAATTTCAACCCGTGGAACAAACCCTTACCACACAATTCTTTCCACCACATCCTCTCCAGGAGGATGGTGCATTCGCTCTTCCCCTTTCCAGACCCCAGTGCAGTCTTCCGCCTCTACTGAGAGCCCTGTTGTAGGAGAGGGGAGTGAACTGGGAGATGTGTTACAGATTCAAGTTGAAGAAGAAGAGGAAGAGGAAGAAGAAGAAGATGAGGAGGAGGAGGAGGACCAGGGGTCAGCAGCACCCTCTCATACTCCTCAACCTCAGAGAGTATCAGGCGTTTTTCCCCGCTCTCATGGATCACACCCACCTCCCATATCCACTACTCCCCGCAGGCTTCCAGAGGGTGAGAGTATGCCACTTGAGCCTCCTGTCCCTCATACTCCTCTCCCCTCTAAAATCTTCTACATCAAGCAGGAACCCTTTGAGCCTAAGGAGGAGACATCAGTAGGTGGAGCTCAGTCTGGAGGAGCAAAGGAGGAGACCAAAATGTTTCCTGGAGAGGACACTGAAGGGAATGGAGAGTTAGGGTTCTTGCTGCCCTCAGGATCAGGGATAACATCTGGAGGAGGTGGTCCATCCTGGAAGCCCGTGGATCTTCATGGAAATGAAATCCTGTCAGGGGGTGGAGGACCTGGGGGAGCAGGGCAGGCTGTGCATGGGCCTGTGAAGCTAGGTGGGGCACCCCCTGCAGATGGAAAACGCTTTGGTTGCTTGTGTGGGAAGCGGTTTGCAGTGAAACCAAAGCGTGACCGGCACATAATGCTGACCTTCAGCCTTCGGCCCTTTGGCTGTGGCATCTGCAACAAGCGCTTCAAGCTGAAGCACCATCTGACAGAACATATGAAGACCCATGCTGGAGCCCTGCATGCCTGTCCACACTGTGGCCGTCGGTTTCGAGTCCATGCCTGTTTCCTTCGCCACCGGGACCTATGCAAGGGCCAGGGCTGGGCCACTGCTCACTGGACTTACAAGTGACTTATGAGGCTGTACACTAACTTCAAGGACAAGAGCCACTGCTGCTGATGGATACTTACCCCTCCCTACCATGGCACCCCAATTCTGGGTCATGTAATCATGCCAAGAGGATATGTTATGGACTACTTGTTCCTGGGTGTGGACCTCAACCTGGCAGATTTGGAAACTCAAGATTTCTTATCTCACCCCAGGTTTTTGCCAACTACCCTACAGAAAAGTGATTTATAGGCCATATGTAAACTGATCACTTAGCCATAAGAGACATTTTCATATGGGAAACCAGACTTCAAGTTAGAAGTTTATTTGATGAGAAAAGAGAGCAAAAAGACATAAAGATAAGTGTTCCATTTGTCTCCATGAGGAGTTAAAGGAGCTGGTCTCCATCTAGGGATATGTTTGATTTAGAGTTCTAGTAATTCAGATACTAAACTCTGAGCTCTCCTCTCTCCCATCATTGCTGAAATTATATGAGAAGAGTTCTTTTTATGTACTTTTGTTATATCTTTCCAGAAGCCTCTCAGATCATAACTTGCTTTCTCACCAGGAGATAGGTTCCCACACCTTTATTTTTTATGCTATAGTTGAGCACTTTAATAAACTGAGCATTCCATTTATCATCCCTAGAACCCTCTTTAACAGAGGTATTCCTTCAACAACCTGTGCCTCTTTATCGGCTTTTGACCACCACTGATCACTTATATATTGATCACAGTGACTGCAATGTGACGAGTAAACTCAGGAGATGGCCACTGACTGAAAATGCTCTCAGGGTAGCACCACTGCTCTGAACAAGTGGCTATGGTCAAGAGGATCTCAGGGCTGAGCCAGCATATGCTGAACGCTAGAGGGTAGCTTCACAGTGGGACCATATCCCCACTCTCCATCCCATCCACACATGACAGCCTCTTGGTTGAGAGGTAGAAGGGTAGACAGATTTTGGAATGAGGAGATTGTCACAGGTGACTTAATTTCTTCAAATAAACCTTGCCTTGACATCTAAGCTAACAATGGGCTGGAATGAGTAATTTATGTGGGAGAGACAACTTGAGAACAGTTGCAAAGACTTGGATGTGTTCCTTATGCTTCTGGGTTATATTGATGGGGATGGTTTCATAATGTTGAAGAGAGAACTGTCCTGCACTTCAGTGGGCCAGATTCTTAGCCCTGACCTGCCACTGAATAACCTCTGGTAAGTTACCTTATCTTTCAGAGTCTGAACTACTACCTCTGTTTTTTTGTCATTGTTGGGGTGGCATTTATCTCCTAACCACTTCTCTGTCTTTTTTTAAAGGGGTTGGTTCATAGGATCTTTACCTATACTGTTCCCTGACCTCATGTATTGTCTATAATGTTTGGTTATTGTTTAATTTGTTCTACAAACATTTCATGTAAAGCACTGTGCCAGAGCCTGACTTTTACTCTGCCCTCAGAGTCCACAGCTATTACTGAAGCTAGACAAATAATGACAAAGTGGTATAATAAGTCCATGATGGTGGGCAATACAAGCTACTGTAGTGGCACAAAGGAAGCTGAGCAAAGACCTATTATTATAGGTCAGCAGAAGTTTCACACACATCTCCATGTGCCAGAGTATGGCAATAGTTATGGGTAGCTGAACTGATGTGGAAATGGTAAACATGAGTTGAACTGGGCCAACAGTGGCAACGTTCCAGAAAGCATGTTTCTCAAAAGTTATTAAGTGTGGCATCCAGAAGGGGCTGGAAAATGCAGCTTTATGGTTGAGAAGGTTAATTGTAAATGGGATTTGTCATCTTCTCTAAAGAGCTGTGCCATAGATCCTCATGGTAAGGAGTGAATGTTGGGAAAGGAATCAAGAATGGGGGCTGCCAATCTTTGATCTATCCAACCTGCCATCCTTTGGGTACATACTCCATAGAGGGGCTGTATCCATTGGCCAGGATCCTTAAGTTGCAAGCAACAGAAAATGGATTAGACTGACCTTATCAAAACAGGAATCTGAATGTGGGTTGGCTCCTGGAGTGGAAGGAAAGGCTAAAAGACCAGCCTTTTGGAAGGACAAGACCTGGGTCAGCTCTGGGGCTCCAGGGAGCAGGAGCCCATGGGGGCTCTTTTCAGGTTACATGTTTTGGAATGATGACCCAGTCATTCTTACTTATGTGTCACTCATCCCAAGATAAAATCTTCCAGGAGAGAACTCTGAGCCTCACCTCCACCCTCTGGCCAAAGCACATTTATCGTATGTTCCATCAGGGCAACAAAGTGGGCATGGAATCCTCAAGGGTAAATTAAAGTCCTGGGACGGAAGAATAGGGATGGATCCTGTCCAACCCACAGAAATAAAGGTCCACCGAGACAATCTCCCATCTTGTTGCCCATCTTGGGATCTTTAAAGCCTCAGATATGCATGGCATTAGGTGTTCAAGAATATTGAACATGCTCAAATTCCAACATCCCCTCCTTAGTCCCCACAGTACTTTGTTACTCTATAAAGCCAACTAAAATACCATGTTAGAAAAAATTTTAAGTTACTCTGTATCGTACAGAAAATGAGTTCCATGATGGAAGATTTTGATTTAAACAAATTATAATGTGAACCTCTCTGCCTCTGTCCTTTCTTCCTTACAGTGGAAGAGATGTCCCTTCCACTGTTTAAAACTGTCCCTCTTCCCAGAGTTTTTTTTTGTTTTTTTGGTATCATTAATCTGCAATTACATGAGGAACATTGTGTTAACTAGACTCCCCTCTTCACCAAGGCCCCCAACAACCCCCATTACAGTCACTCTCCATCAGCATAGTAAGATGCTGTAGACTCACTACTTGTCTCGGTGTTGCACAGCCCTCCCTGTGCCTCCCCCCACATTATACATGCTATTCGTAATGTCCCCTTTCTCCCCCCAACCTTATCCCTCCCTTTCCACCCACCCTTCCCAGTCCAGTTCCCTTTGGTAACTGTTAGTTCATTCTCAGGTTGTGTGATTCTGCTGCTGTATTGTTCCTTCAGTTTTTCCTTTGTTCTTATACTCCACATATGAGTGAAATCATTTGGTACTTGTCTTTCTCCGCCTGGCTTATTTCACTGAGCATAATACCCTCTAGCTCCATCCATGTTGTTGCAAATGGTAGGATTTTTTTTCTTCTTATGGCTGAATAATATTCCATTGTGTATATGTACCACATCTTTATCCATTCATCTACTGATGGACACTTAGGTTGCTTCCATTCTTGGCTATTGTAAATAGCGAAAAACATAGGGGTACATCTGTCTTTTTCAAATTGGGCTGCTGTATTCTTAGGGTAAATTCCTAGAAGTGGAATTCCTGGTTCAAACGGTATTTCTATTTTGAGCTTTTTGAGGAACCTCCATACTGCTTTCCACAATGGTTGAACTAATTTACATTCCCACCAGCAGTGTAGGAGGGTTCCCCTTTCTCCACAACCTCACCAATATTTGTTGTTGTTTGTCTTTTGGATGGTGG